AGAGGGTAGTGACAGCCCATCAGTCTGGGGAGGGCTATAAGACCATCTCCAAAAGATTCCAGCTCCATCCATCCACTGTAAGACAGATCATTTACAAATGGAGGGCCTTCAACATGACATTGCCTAGGAGTGGACGCCCATCAAAAATATCACCCAGAAGCACCAGAAAAATAATAAATCAGGTAAAGGTCAACCCACACATCACCTCAAGAGAGTTGCAGACCTCTCTGGCAGCATCTGGGACAAATGTGCATGCGTCTACAATCAGACGAAAATTGAATAGCCATGATATTCATGGGAGGATTGCTAGAAGGAAGCCTCTGCTCTCAAAAAAGAACAAAGCTGCTTGTTTCAACTTTGCCAGAGAGCACTTGGACAAACCAGAGGCCTTCTGGAAGTCCATTCTCTGGACAGACGAGTCCAAAATAGAATTATTTGCTCACAATCAAAACCGACATGTTTGGAGAAAAGCGGCCAACACGGCATATGAAGAAAAGAACCTCCTCCCAACAGTGAAGTATGGTGGTGGAAATGTGAAGGCCTGGGGCTGCTTTTCTGCTTCTGGACCTGGACGACTCCATATTATCCAAGGAACCATGAATTCTTTGGCATATCAACAAATTCTTGACCAAAATCTCCTGCCATCAGTCAGAGAGTTGAAGCTGGGACTTAAAAATGGATAAATGGATTATGCAACAAGACAATGACCCAAAGCATTCCAGCAAAACTACAAAGGAATGGCTTCAGAGAAAGAGGATTCGCACTCTGGATTGGCCCAGTCAAAGTCCGGACCTTAACCCAATTGAAATGTTGGGGCGAGACCTGAAGAAGTTGGTACATGCCAGATGTCCCTCCAACCTCTCTCAACTGGCTGAGTTCTGTAAGGAGGAGTGGGCAAAAATCCCCATAAGCAGATGTGAGAGACTGGTTAGTGGTTACAGGAGACGTTTGGTTGAAGTAATGGCTGCAAAAGGAGGGGCCACAAGCTACCAATATGTAAAATTTTCAGTTTTTGTGAAATAAACCACCTTTGTTGAATTAAATAATGAAAATATATCTTTTTGTGCTTATGTCCATTATTTGGAAGGTGTGCTTTACAAATTGGGATTTGGGTGTATGTGTAATAAGGTTATTTTAATGTTTTTTACAAAAACAGTGACCATGTTTGGAGGGTTCACATACTTTCAGGCAGCACTGTATACTATTTCCTGGCATTAGTGCTATTACCTGGCTAGTTTGTACCCTTACCTGTTGACATCCTTCCAATCAAAGTATTACCTAGTTATATTACCTAGTTATAGCAGAAAACCACATTTTAATTTTCTTTACCTTGGTTATACAGTATAACAGATGTAAATACACAAACGTAAATAATGTTAATTTATTCAATGAAATCAAGTACATGGTTGAATGAACAAATGCACAACGCATTCCTGTACATCTTGCGTTCTTTTGTGCTGTTGGGCCGTGGTGTGTTCCGGGTGCAGCACATGTCTTGAGTTAGGACACACCTAAGGCGGCATCATATGGTGGGCACTGGGTTAGGGGTACATGCACCAAATCAATACTGGGACACACCACATTGGGGAACCCATCGAATTTCACAGGTGTCCCATCGAATGACTCTCATGACCCGGGAAACCCTGGGGGTCAAGGAGTCCCCGTCACACCGGTAACAGGCAAATCCCCACGTTGAAATTCCTGCCCCACTTTCATTGTGAGGATTGAGAACTGAATTCTGTACAGTTTTCCACTACTACACAGGGTTGTCAGAGAGATAATGTAGAAACATTTAAAAAAAAAAAAAGAAAAAAGACCA